TAGTTTTAGTTGGTACAATATCTATTTTGATTTTTATGTGGTGCTGAGGATCGAACCCAGTGCCTCATGCACGCCAGGCAGGAACTCTACCTCTGAGCCACAACCCCAGCCCTTGTTTGGTTTTGGTTTTTGTTTTGCAGTATTGGAAACGTGCCAGGGAGCACTCTTACCACTGAACTTCACCTCCAGCCAGCCAGGAATCTAACCATCCATCCATCTATTTATACTAGAAATTGAACCCAGGAACACTTCACCACTCAGCCAGATCCCAAGGCCCTTTTCATTTTTTGAGACAACTTGCTAAATTGCCAAGGCCTGAAATTTGTGATCTTCCTGCCACATCCTCCCAAGTGGCAGGAATTACAGGTGAGCACCACACTGATGAGTACTGTAATTCCAATGCAGCCAAAATTGTCATTGTCGGTCTCTGCTTTTACAGTCAGTGTGACTAAGGAAAAACAAAAACAAAACAAAACCTTCTAACCAGAAGAGTGGTCAATAAACATATGGTCCCTTTATTCCTAGAAGTATCAAGTTTCGCTGGGCATGGTGGCCCACACCTGTAATCCCAGGGGCTCAGGAAGCTGAGGCAGGAGGATCACGAGTTCAAAGCCAGCCTCAGCAATGGTGAGGTTGCTGAGCAACAGGTCAATGCCCCCGATTTCACTCCCAGTACTCAGTACCAAAAAAAAAAAAAAAAAAAAAGTATCTAGTTTTTTGCTGTTCACACTAAATATTTGCTACATCTGGATTTGATTTCTTTTTTTATATGGATAACCAATTTTTCCAGAACCATTTACAATGGCACCTCTATCATCTATCAAGTTTCCATGTGGACGTGAGTGGGTTCTAGACTCTGCATTTTTTTTTCTTTTTTCTTTTTTTCTTTTTTTTTTTTTTTTTGTACCAGGGATTGAACTGAGAGCATTCAACCACTGAGCCACATCCCCAGCCCTATTTTGTATTTTTTTATTTAGAGACAGGGTCTCACTGAGTTGCTCAGCACTTCACCATTGCTGAGGCTGGCTTTGAACTCGTGATCCTCCTGCCTCAGCCTCCTGAGCTCCTGGGATTATAGGTGTGCACCACCATGCCCGGCCCTGGACTCTCTATTTTGTCCTGCAGGTCTGTTTATCTTTGCATCAACACCCAGGAAAGTAACTGTTATGGTTTGGACCTCTGATGTCCCCTGAAGAGCTCACATGTTAGGCAAGTATCGGTGTTTAGATTAATAGTCTGAAAGGACTACTGGAGGGTGACTGTAGGCAAGTGGAACATGGCTACAAGAGGTGGGTTACTACGGGCTCGCACTGGACTCCATCTGTCCCTGGTTCCTTGCTTGCTCACTCTCTTTGCTTCTTGGCTGCCAGGAGCTGAGTAGCTTTCCTCAGCAGCTACCCTCACGGCAGCTGGGAACCTGCTCACCATGATGTTCTGCTTCACTCAGGCTCAGAACAATGAAGTCAGTGGACCACGGACTGAACCTCTGAAATGGTGAGCCCAAAAGAAAGTTTCCTTCCTCTAAGTTGTTCCTGTCAGATATTTTAGTCATGGGGCTGAAAAGCTAACACAATAATTAATGTAACTCTACAATATGGATTGATACCCAGTAGTAGAAGGTTCTAGAACTTGTTCTTCTTCCTAAAAGATCTTCTTGACGATTCGTAGTCCTTTGCTTATCCATTTAAATTTTAGAATTAGCTTGTCAAAGTCATGAAAATCTGCTTGATTGGAACTCTAATGCATTTCTAGATCAATTTAGGAAAAACTGACATCTCTACACTATTGAATATACCTATGCAAGATTATGGCATTTACCTTTGTCCACTTTAATGACTAGGTTGTCCAGGAAAAAGCTAAAAAGAAGAACTGATTATAAGAATCGTCATGGGTTTTGTTTTATTTTAAGGAATATTTTTCTAGCCAGGCATGATGGTAATCCCAGTGGATGGGAGGCTGAGGCAGGAGAATCTCGAGTTCAAGGCGAGCCTCAGCAATACAGCAAAGCTTGAAGCAACTTAGTAAGACCCTGTCTCAAAAAAATAAAAAGGGCTGGGGATGTGGCTCAGTGGTTGAGCACCTCTGGGTTCAATCCCTCATGGGGGTGGGGGGGGAAGGCATCAGAATTTAGCCACACTATTGGCTGCTGCTTTATCATAGAACCTGAACTCACTGCACATCCACCCATAAGCCTGGATTCCTTTACCCATACAGAGTACTGGTTCAGAGACTCAGGCAAGTCTGTCAATCAAATCACAGCACACCCATTAGCTACAGGAATTGGTTCAGGTACGGATGTGTGAGATGACCTGGCCAATGAGATACAAAGAGGTCTGGTAGGCAATTTCTAGAAAAGAAGTTTCCCTACTGCAAGGCACTGCCCAGAAGAGACATCTCACTTTTCCCCAGACGGGTGGAATGAAACTGAAGTCTCCAGCTGCTACCAGGACGTCTCACCACTAATGAGAGAAATTGTCCTAAGGATGAATCCAAAAGTAAGGGCAACCCTGCTGAGATAATCACAGGACCTGAGCCACTAGAACAAACCCTGCCTGCAGCCAGGCCTCTCAGGGGCTCAGAACTGAGGCTTCCCCAGCAGCTTCCCTATTAGCGGCAGCTGAACGCCTGCAGAAAATAGTGAACTCAATCCGGAGAGTATGCATGGGAAGGGACAGAAGGAGTGCTTCACGAGAGCTAGAAGGCAACTGGCTCAGACTGACAAGGGGCTCCCCACAGGGAAAAGGGTTAATGGAACATTTGGTAGTGTGGGGGAACCCTGAAGGTATAATAAAGCAAGAAAATAAAGCGTGATAAGAAAAAGCCTTTTTTTTTTTTTTCAGGATTGAACCCAGGGTTGCTCTACCACTGAGCTATACCCCCAGCCATTATTTATTTCTTTATTTGTATTTTGAGACAGGATCTCACTAAGTTTCTGAGCCTAGCCTGAATCTGCAATTCTCCTGCCTCCTAAATCTCTGGGATTACAGGCATGAGGGAAAGCACCCGACTGGAAGAAAACATTTTTTAAAAGAGACCCTGTCTCGAAATTAAAAATATAAAAAAGGGCTGGGGATATGGCTCAGTGTTAAGGGTCCCTGAGTTTAACACCTGGTAACAAAAAAAAAGATACTTCTCAGGCCAGGTACCACGACACATTCTATAATCCCAGCAACTCAGGAGACTGAGGCAGGAAGATCAAAAGTTCAAGACTAGTCTCAGCATCTTAGCGAGACACTCAACATCTCAGTGAGACCCTGTCTCAAAATTTAAAAAGTAAAAAAACCGGGGGGCTGGAATTGTGGCTCAGTGGTAGAGCACTTGCCTTGCATATGTGAGGCACTGGGTTCCATCCTCAGCACCGCATAAAATAAATAAATAGGTAAAACAAAGGTACTGTGTCCCTGTTCAATTAAAAAAATAAAAAAAAAATTTTTTAAAAGAATAAAATTAAAAAAAAAAAAAAACACGACTGGGGTTGTAGCTGTCGTAAAGTGCCCCTGGGTTCAATCCTCAGTACTGAGGGAAAGAGAACTGTTTAATGTAACACTTTGCTTACATTATTCTGTAATAAAATGTTAAAATGTTTAGCACAAGCAAATAAAAGATGTCTGCTTCAAGGCAAAGTCTGGAAGAACAGTGGGAAAATCAAGAACACAGATCTATTAGGGCAGTAGGATTACAGTTACTTTTTTTAGTTTCATAATTTTGTTTAAGTTAAATTATAAAATTTATAGTTTATACTGTGTGTAAAATAGGGACCAAAAATAAAGGGCAGGAAAAAAGTATCAGGCCTATGTCCAGAAGACTTTCACGGGCTCCACACCTGCTCCCTGGCAGACACCAGCACCTTGCACAGGGGGGAGACCCCAAAGCAGGCGAGCAAAGGAGAGCCTTTCCCTACACCAGCAATAGGCTCCTCACTGGCTCCACAGCTCCCCACCCAGGCCCTAGCAGATCCCCCCAGCGGCCTGTGCCTCTCAAACAGGCCAGACCCATGTGCACGGTAAGACTGTGACCAGCCTACTCCACACCCTAACCTGGGCCAGGGCTGGGTGGACCATCTGCCTAGGAACTGGGTGCCTGGGGTTCAAGAGGGACAGAGAAGGGGTTACCTACCGCAGGAGTCACAGATGAAGCAGTCGGTGTGGTACAGGCTCCCCATCGCCTGGCACGCCTGCCTTGCCCCATAGATGCCGAGCCCACACTTGATGCAAATGCCTATGGGAGGAGAGGCAGGACAGAGCTGTGGTTGGCACCATGGACTCTGGAGTCAGACAGACACAGGCATCTAGCTCCTAGTCCTGATACCTCGCATCTGCCCAGCCTTGGGCAGGTTAACTTCTCTAGGCCAACATAATTCAGTCTCTAATGACACATGGGGACCCTAAAGGAAACCCACTACTGTTACTATCGTCTGAGGATTCCAGAGCACCTGACAAAGGGTCAGAGCCAACCGAGGTCAACTGCGTAGTTATTAGACACATCAATACCCAGAAATGTCATTCTAAGCCCCGCATTCTTGGACTAAGAGAAAAATCCTTTCTGCTGTCCATGAACCAAATCCTACTCTTCAGGATCAAAATATGTATTTTCTGACCCAGACACAGAAGACCACACAGGTGCACCCAAGGCAGTCGCTGACCCTCCCCGGGCTCCCTTCCTCATCTGTACTACAGGCCCACGCGGTCTCCTGTTCAGTCAGCACACAGACATGCACTGCCTGCCACACAGCCCACAGGCGCTGGAAAAATTCTACCATGGACTGAAGTCCCCTCCCCCAAGGAGCCTGCATTCCATGGAGGAGACAGACAACAGCAGCTAAATAATGTGTCAGGTAGAAACAAGCAACAGAAAAAAGTCAGGCTGGGAATAGATCTAGGGGCCGGGGTGCAGCTCAGTGGTAGAGTGCGTGCCCTGCGTGCATGAGGTCCTGGGTTCAATTCCAGCGCGCCACACACACACACACACACACACACACACACACACACACACACACAAGAATATGTCTGAGACTATGATTTTGAAAAAGAATGATCAGGGAAGGCCCTGCTGACAAGGCGGTATTTGAACAAAGACCTGAAGAAAGTAAGATAAGTCACTGAGCAGGCATCTGGGACTCCTGGATGGAATTGGGGACCACTCCTAGCTGAGGGGAGGGATCAGGGGTGCCCCATGGGTCTGGTAGTGGGTGGAAAGGAGAAATGACCAGGAATGCCAGGATAGAGCCTGGTTCCAGCCCTAGGGGACTCTCTGACCAGCCCTCCTGGAGACCCAGCAGGCAGCCCGCCCTGACACTGCTACTACTACTCAGGGCCCCCAGTACCCCACAAGGCATGAAGGTGGCTCCACCTACACTCCAGGCCCTCAATCTACAGCTGTTCCAGGACATACTGCCATCCCCCTCCCTCTTGCCTTCTCTGTCTTTAGGTGGGCTAAGTATCCCTTATCTGAAATGCTTAGGATCCAAAGTGTTTCCAATTTGGGGGTTTTTCAGATTTTGGAATATCTGCACAGACTTTAAGCTTCCCTCACCAGAAAATCTGAAATCAAAAATGCCAAAGTCTGAAACTTTTGGAGCGTCAATTTCATGCTCAAAAAATGTTGTGGATTTTGGAGCTTTTCATATTTTCAGATTAGGGATGCTCCATCTGTGTGACCATGGCCAAGTCTCTCCTACTCCAAGTCTCTCTCTTTCCCATCTGATCTCACCTCCTTTTTGGTTTCCAGGATTTAACCTACACCTGGCTTCTCCCTTCCCAGCTCTTCTGGTTACTCCCCTGCTCAGTCCTGGCCTCTGAGGTGTGGGGAGGATCAATTCAGATGCCTCAAAACAACACAGGAAGCCGGGCATGGTGGCGCCTGCCTGTCATCTCAGCGACTCTAGCTCTAGAGGCTGAGGAAGGAGGTTTGAGAGTTCAAAGCCAGCCTCAGCAATTTAGCAAGGCACTTAGCAACTCAGCAAGGCCCTGTCTCTAAATAAAATACCAAAAAAAGTGGGGGGGGGGCAGCTGGGGATATGGCTCGTGGTTAAGCACCCTGGGTTCAATTCCCAGTACCAATAAATAAATAAATAGATAAAACCACAGAAGAGCTGGGGAAGATGGTTTGCTCCCAGCTACTCAGGAGGCTGAGGCAAAAGGATAGATTGCAAGTTCAAGACCAGCCACAAAAAACATAAGGAGACCCTGTCTCAAAATAAAAAAATAAAAGGGTTAGGGGTGCAGCTCAGTGGGAGAGCACCTACCTAGCACGCAGAGGATCCTTAGGTCAATCCCCAGCACCACAACTTAAACCAGGCAGGAACACACAGATGGCCTGGGGGACCCAGGTATGTGGTCCAGCTGCCTCGGTTCTACAGATGGCTCCAAGGTGAGAAGGCAGGCCCACAGGCGCGGCCAGAGACCCTAATTTTTCAAGAAAAGCTAGACATCTAGATCTGTATATGAAATCCTTCTATTCTGAAATTAATTACTAACTTAAGTGTTCTTAAGAGACCAAGCAAACCCTTGCTGCAGGTCCCTGTGCATGGCCGCAGCTTCCCAGGTCTCCTGCACAGTCCCATCCTCTCACCCTGCCCAGGGCTCCAGGTGTGACCTCCAGCCTGGACTCCCGAGTGCTGGTTCCCCTCTCAGAAGACTCCAGACACTCCGTGTGCAGACACAGCTCCAGACTCCCCCAAACCACTATAGATTGTGGCTCCCCCTCAGGAGATGGTGCGTTCATGTACCCAGGTTCTGGGCTCCTCAGGTGGGTGCCTCACCCTCACCTCTAGTTGGGAACCTCTGTCCCCTAACCTTGACTTCACTCCTTCCCCTCACTCCCTCTGGCCTCCCAGCCTGGCCCCCAGTAATCCATTCCCCAAACGGCATCCAGACTGCTCATTCTTGTCCATCAGCTCTGAGAATCGGACCTTGTCATTTCCCTGATTAAGCTACTGGGAAAACAGAGAAAGGAGAAAAGAAGAAAACCCAGGTGCTTCTGGAGAACCAGAAATGAAGGGTGGATAAAGAAAGGAAGATCCGATTCTATTCTGCATTATTCATTTTTGCATTTTATTTGATTTTTCTCTAAATATGTACATGCACCACTTTAATAAAAATATACTGGGCTGGGGATATAGCTCAGTTGGTAGAGTGCTTGCCTTGCATGCACAGGCCCTGGGTTCAATCCCCAGCACCACCAAAAAAAAAAAAAAAGAAAAAGAAAAAGAAAAGAAAGAAAGAAAAATACACTAAAAAAGAAGCAGGAGCATGAGAGACCCAGAAATTAGGGAGCAGGATGCTGTGAGGAGAGCAAACTCCACATTGTTGGACACCACAATGAGATGAGACATTTCAGGCTGGGGCCTTGCATCACTAGTGTCCTGTGTGAGACGTGGGTCAGTCAAGTGAGAGGAGATACAGCAGGTGGCCATGGGGAATAGGAAGGTATTTAAATTAGCAAAGATGATCTCAGCAAAACACTGGGAGGGGAAGAATGTTTGAAAGGGCTGGGGCGTCCTTCATGGGGTGTGGCCATATAGGTTTGAGAGTCATCTTTACTCTTTACTTTTTTTTTTTTTTTTTTAGTGAAATACCCTTGTGCAAATTTATAACCAGAGGAAAGCTGAAGATGGAGAAGGTGGAGGTTGGAGACAGAGGACTCTTATCCTCTTAGGTGGCAGGAGCGAGGGGCTGGCTGTGGACAGGAGAGAGCCTGGGGTTGAGAAACAGGAAGCCGGTGGAGACAATATCGACCACAATATTCTATGTGAAGTGGAAAGCAAGGGTGGACATCAGAGGAGAGAGGAAGGGTGCTGAGGAAACGGAAGAGCCAAGTGACCTAGTCTTAGGGAGACCACTGAGGCTGAAATCCAAAAATCTGCTGTGGTCCCAGGAGCATCCTCTGAGCCCCTCAGCCTGGGGGAGCAGCAGGAAAGGAGCAGCGGGAGCCAGGGTCACGCTGGGCAGACAATTGAGAGGAATCTGAGGTCGTGGTGAGAAGCAGCTGCTGGAACTGAAGGTGCTGGAGAGAAGCAAAAGCAGGGTGTGGCCCCGGAGTGGGTGGCTGGAGAGAAGGCAGCAGGCCACCCAGCGGAAAGAGGTTCCAGGGGCCTGAGGTTGTTGACAGGCTAGTGGCAGGAGACCTCAGGGAGGAGAGGGAAAGTTCCAAAGACATCACTGAATGACAGAGAGTGACCAAGAGGTCAGCGGGCACCAGAGCCAAAGAGAAGGGACGAAGGATGGCACAGAGAGAAACGCTCTGTGCATTAGGTTTCTCGAGATCGCTGGTGCTCATGCTACCTGGAGACGACCTTTAGTAAAATTAATTATTCCAATTGAACTTATAATATTACTTTTTTTTTTGTACTGGGGTTTGAACCAAGGGGTGCTTTACCAGTGTCACATTCCCAGTCCTTTTAATTTTTTATTTTGAAGGCAGGGTTTTACTAAGTTGCCCAGACTGGCCTCAAACTTCTGATCCTTCTACTTCAGTCTCTGGAGTTGCTGAGATTACAGACACGTGCCACCCCACCCAGCTTAAAATTGCCACTTTTTTTGGTGGCTGGGGGGGGAGGTACCAGGAATGGAACTCAGGGGCACTCAACCACTAAGCCATATCCCCAGTCCTATTTTGTATTTTATTTAATATATAGACAGAACGGTCTCACTGAGTAGCTTAGCATCTTGCTTTTGCTGAGGCTGGCTTTGAACTTGCAATCCTCCTGGATCAGACTCCCAAGCCACTTGGATTACAGGCGTGGGCCACCACCGGGCCAAAATTGCCACTCTTGTACCTCAAAAAAGTCAAATGTCATTAGAACCATATAACTCAAACAAATCGCTGCTAATATTTTTTTTTAAATGTTTATCTAAATCTCAATTTCTGGCTGTTCTTGGGGGGGAGGACAATCTGTCTGTCCTCTCAGACTCCCACATGGCTACAAAGCTGAGCCCCAGCTCCTCTTTAGAAAGGATGGCCCCCTGACCTCTACCATTTTCTACTATTGGCCCCTTCACTTCCAACATTACCTGATGGGACTAGGGCCACCCAGAGTAACATAGTGATTCCGGGTGGCCATGGATACTCAGCCACACCCCTCACCCAAGCTCTGCAATATTCAAGGAACAGAAAAAGGCCACTATTTCCTCAAGAGAGCACTGAAGAGTGTTCCTCTTGAACGGAACGGCTCTGCTCCTGGCATCTGCCTGGCACAGGAGGCAAGAGCTCCTCTCTCATCTCTTTGCTACCAGCAGCCACCAGACCTGCCAAACCACAAATTCTCACCCTGTCTCCCCACATGGGAGGTGCTCCCCAACCCCCAAACAGGCCAACCCTTCAGTGCACACATGCCCTTGACCCCCTGGCCCCTCCTGGGCTTCAATCCTCTGGGGCCTTCTTAAATCTTCCTTGGGCTTGTTTTGCTCACTTCCTTCTCTCTGCCTGGGATGCTCCCATCTGGCCTGCAATATACAGCCTCCTCATCTCTCAAGATCCAGTTCAGGGCCAGGCACACAAGTATAATTCCAGGGCTTGGGAGGCTGAGGCAGGAGGATCCCGAATTCAAAGCCAGTCTCAGCAACTTAGCAAGACCCTGTCTCAAAATTTAAAA